CCCTAAACCCTTAAACCCTAAACTATAAACTATAAACCCAAACTCCTGTACCGAACCTGAAAGCACGCGGGTTTCGGGCTTCGGCTTTATGGGTTTCAGGTTTAGGCTTCGGTGTTTAGGGTTTAGGGGTTGGGATGGTTGCGGCTTTACATATAGGGGCCTTCCTATATTTAGAATAGGGTTTTGGTGCCCATTATACTATTATTGTAATAAGGAGCCCCCAAAATAGTACTGGTAATGATTGAGGGCCCTACGTTACATAACATTTGGGGCTTAGACTGCTGGGTTGAGGCATTAGGGTTTAGGGTTTAGGGTTTAGGGTTACATACCGTCAGCTCTCCGGTAATTTAAATTGACGGACCCCAACAGGGGAACCTCCAACCCCGAACCCTTAAACCCTAAACCCCTGAATCCTAAACCCCTGAACCCTAAACCCCTAAACGCTAAACCCCTGAACCCTAAACCCCTCAACCCTAAACACTGAACCCTAACCTTAAGCCCACCGGGGCTCCTGGTGAACCGTCTGTGGGTCTTCAGGGATTTTACACAACCTCGGGCTTCGGTGATGGAGGTCACCCATATAGGGGTTAATAACTAGAAATATCTAGAATAGGGTTTAGGGTTTAGGGTTTAGGGCCTTAGCAAAAAGACTAGTGTTTGGGGTATACTATACCATAGTTAGAATAAAGAGCCCAGAACCCTATTCTAGTTATTAAGGCCCCTACAGTTCCCCTACAGTCTGTGATCTCCCGGGTCGTCGGAAACCGTGTGCCGAGAATTTCGGGGTAGGGCTTTGGCTTTAGGGTTTGGGGTTTAGGGTTTGGGGTTTAGGGTTTAGGGTTTGGGGTTTAGGGTTTAGGCTTTGGGGTTTAGGGTTTGTTTAGGGTCTAAGGTTTGGGGTTTAGGGTGTAGGGTTTAGGGCCTAGGGACTGTTGTCTCAGTATCCGTTGCAAGTAGGTCCCTTCAGAAGCAGAGCTGTTCTAGAATCGAAGAAAATATAATCGAACTCCGGTAACACCCAAAGCCAACACCCTTGACCCTAAACCCTAACCAAACCCTACACATGAACAGTACCGCCACCCTCCAGGCTACCGTGTGGAGCGGAACGAGCTGCTTTGTCCCTTCCTTCCTGGAAATTCCGTGCTCGTCGGTGCGATGCAGGCTTGGGGGGGCTCATAGGTACCCTAAACCCTAAACCGTGGTCCTTTTGGGGCTTGACAAGTATTCATATGGGTCTCACATGGGATCTAGAAGGGTCTTGCTGGGGATTTCTGACAGGCTAAGGGTTCCAAACGGCTTAAAAGGGTGCAATAAGGGTTCTCTATGAGGTTGCATAAGAGTCTGCTGCAAGTCGGGGTGTTCTTTCATGTTGGGATGTAGGGCTTACAGTGTAAAATCTACCCCAAAGCCCTCTTCTAATTATTTAGGTCCCTAAACCTTATAAACCCTCAACCCATTTAGGAAGTTTAGGAAGTCTAGGTGGTCTTCGCGCAGTTCACGGGGTTGCCTTGAGGTCCTCTTCCGTTGTGTCAATTGAGCCTAAACCCTACACCCTAAACCCTAGACCCCAAACCCTAAACCCTAGACTCTCAACCCTAAACCCTCAACCCTAGACCCTAAACCCTAAACCCTAAACCCTAGACCCTAAAGCCTAAAGGACCGGCCCACAGAGCCTGATGGGATATGCATCGATAAGGGGTCTGTGGGAGTTTCAGGCCTTTGGGGTTCCAGGATTTAGGCCTTGAGTTTAGGGTTTTAGCGTTTAGGGTTTAGGGTTTAGGGTCCTTGCTACAGGCTCGACGGCCGCTCCTCCGAAGAGTTTTGTGGGTTCACGCAGCTGCTCTTGATGGCTTTCCCTTGTAGCATAGGGGCTTACATAATTACCAGTAGCATTTTGGGGGCTCCTGCTTATAGTTATCGTATAAAGGGCCCCAAAGCCCTATTCTGCTTCTAATTCCCTTGTAACCCTAAACCCTAAACCCTAAACCCTAAACCCTAAACCCTAAACCCTAAACCCTAAACCCTAAACCCTAAACCCTAAACCCCTAAGCCGTTAGTGGGCGAGTCTCACAGTGTAGGCGTGCCGTTTCCTGCATCCGCAGCCATCCCAAGCTTGACGCACCCAAAACTTTAGACCCCAAGAGCCTAAACACTAAAGCCGAAATGGGGACGGTTTAGGGCTTAGGTTTTACTTGGAGGGTCGGGAGACTTAGTGAGTAGGTAATAAGTAGACTTACCCTAAAAGGGACCCTAATTGGGGTCATAGTACTTATAAGTCTATAAAATAACCGTTTACTACGTCCCCCGACCCTCCAAGTAGGGACCCCTAACCCTTCTTCTGTGAAAGTCTAAATGGGGACGGTTTAGGGTTTAGGGTTTAGGGTTTAGGGTTTAGGGTTTAGGAGTTAGTGCATACCATTTCCATTTTCTAACCATGCCCATCCCCCCTAGGCCACTCAAGACCCAAAACCATAACAACCTATGCCTCAACCCTAAACTCACTGAAAGACCCATAGGAATACCTCAACACGAAGACCCAAAACCACAACAACCTATACCTCAACCCACCTCACCAAAAATCCCAACCTAAACCCACAAGATGGAACCACCAGAAGAAACCATACACCACCACATAGAAAAATCCCAACCTCAACATCATAGACCAACACCCCCATAGAAAAACCCATATTCCCCAACCCATATTCCCCAACCCTTGAAAATGGAAATGGTATTCTCTAATAAAATATCTATTTTTGGAATAAGGTTTAGGAATAAGGTCGAACCGACAAGAACGATACTTGCAGTATAGCATGAGCTACTTGTTCACATTCCACTTTCAGCTTCAACCGCACCCTGCCTCGGCATTTCTTCCTGCATCCATTTCTCAATGGCCATGCAAGCTGGCCTGGCATTTGCCTTGTTCTTTTGGGCACAAAGGGCGCCATTCCAGTCTTTTCTTGCGGTCTGTCCTGGCTCCTGGTTCGTTCGCACACAGGGTCAGTCACGTTTCGCCTGGCCAAGCAAAATGAACAGACGGACTCGGACTTGCGCATTCTCACCACGTTCCGGAGATGTTCCAGTTTCCAACAGTTGTGTAGTGAGGAAGACTGTATTCAGCGGACATGCGCAGCGCTGTTTGCCAGTTTCAGCAGTCTCAGCCGGTTTGCATACTTGTGCAATGCGGGCAGATGGTCAGCTCGTCTGCTTTGGAGCCAATGGTAAGCAGCAGCGTGACGTGCCAGCAGATTTGGGACCAGCTTTGGCAGTTTCAGCGGGCGATTTTCATACTTGTGCAGTGCGAACAGATGGTCAGCTCGTCTGCTTTAGAGACAATGATTATGGGCAGTGTGACGTCCCAGCAGATTTGGGACTAGTTTTGGCAGTCTCAGCGGGCGGGTTTCATACTTGTGCAGTGCGAACAGATGGTCAGCTCGTCTGCTTTGGAGACAATGATTATGGGCAGTGTGACGTCCCAGCAGATTTGGGACCAGTTTTGGCAGTCTCAGCGGGCGGGTTTCATACTTGTGCAATGCGGTCAGACGGTCAGCTCGTCTGCTTTGGACGCTATGGTTCTGGGCAGTGTGACGTCCCAGCGGATTTGGGACCAGTTCTGGCAGTCGCAGCGGGCGCGGGCGGGTTTCATACTTGTGCAGAATGCGAACAGATGGTCAGCTCGTCTGCTTTGGAGACAAAAATTTTGGGAGGTGTGACGTCCCAACAGATTTGGGTCCAGTTCTGGCAGTCGCAGCGGGCAGTTTGCATACTTGTGCAATGCGGTCAGACGGTCAGCTCGTCTGCTTTGGAGACAATGATTATGGGCAGTGTGACGTCCCAGCGGATTTGGGACCAGTTTTGGCAGCCGCAACGGGCAGATTTCATACTTGTGCAGTGCGAGCAGATGGTCAGCTCGTCTGCTACTTGCAATGAAACAGTTGATATAGTAGGAAACTTGTCTTGTGAAAATGAATTTTGCGTTGATGTTCTAGCTACCAAAATTTAAAGTATTAGGCAGTAGCGTTGATTTCTTTGAAAGATTTAGTATTACGCATACAACACCGGGAAGTGTAGAACAAATATTTTTTAGAAATCCTGACACAGACGGGGAACAATAACTGAAATAGGAACTGTAAATGTTTTAATAGTTGATAATGGAGGCATTAATGTTATTGGAGATGTTAATTATAGTGGAGTTTTAACAGATACATCAGACAAAAGTTAAAGGATAATATAAAAGAAATTGACCAAAATAAAGCAATAGATTTAGTTAAGTATATTAAGCCTAAAACATATATCAAAAAAGATACAAAACGAAAATTTCTAGGTTTCAAATGATTTTAATGATTATGCAATGCCTGAAGAATGGGATAATATTGCCATGAAAGGTATGGATGATCATTTACGAATGGATTATACAAAAACAACACCCTTGCTTTGGTCTGCTTTACAATATGTCATAAACGAAAATGAAGAGATGAAAGAAATGTTAAAAGATATGAAAAAGTCTATAACATATTTGAAGGGTGAATTAACTAAAATGAAAAATAAGTCTAATTAATGATAAAACTATTCAATGAAAAAGTTGATAAAAAATAAAAATTAAAGTTTGGAGTCTGACTAAGACATATACAAAAGAATTATTAATACTATATTTTAGTTTTTATAACTGGCGTGAAATAGTAAAGGTTAAAACAACAGAAGAATTATTAAACGAATTAGGAGTAATATAAAATAGTATATATGGGTTCTAAATCATCTAAATCATGTGCTTCAGAAAATATGAAACAAATAAAAGAACTTGATATAGAAGAGAAAACAAGAACAGATATTTTATTATTTAATACTTTAAAGGACGTTATTACGAGAGTAGAGAAATTGGAAGAAACAAAAAGCGATAAAATATATTATAAATTACAGAAAATGACATTATGCAATTATCCAATAATATGATTAATAATATTATAGAAATAATATTAATAATTTCTATTCATTATCAACTTCAAAACGTTTTTCAAAACGTATGTGAAACATGTTATTGACATCTTTAGCATTTGTGTTTATATATAAAAAAGAATATGGAGCATCATTTACTGCCTGTTGATACATGTCATATAATGTTTTCCTATCAACTAACGCGCTGTTTTCTTCAATAAAGGCATTGACTTCATTCATATTCTTTAGTCTGAATATAAACAAAGCACTAGCATTTAAGTGAATTATTGGTGCTAAAACATTGTATTTTTGGGTAGATAATATACACGAGATGGCGTTATGT